CCCTCACTCTTATCCGCGACTGCGGGGTGCTACGTTTTTCATGTGCAAACTATGTAGTGCAGTTCATGTGGTGCAGCATGTGCTGCGCACTCTTTGTGGCGCAATCTATGGTCTGCAATACATGTGGTGCAATGTATGCGAGTCCGTCTATGTTGTGAACCCTACGCGGTGCAAAATATGTGGTGCAATGTATGTGGTGCAATATGTGTTGTGCACTCTATGTGGTGGAATCTATGTTGTGCAATTCACTGTGACCGTCTTGAAGCTGTCCTCTCCACCGCCCGTGCAAACATCCCACCCTCCCGCCCGCAACTTGGTTGCAAGACGTCTTAAGACAAGACCGTGACGGTAGGTACCACATGGCACTTGGCAACGACACCGACGACGACAGCGACAACGACGACGACGGCGCCGCCGACACCGACTACGACGACACCGACGACGTCTCCAACGACTTCGACGACGACGACGACAACGACGCCGAATACGACGACGCCGACGACGACGAAGACGAAGACAACGACGACGACGACGACGAGAAGGACGCCGCCAACGAAGACGACGACGACGAGGGAGGAGGGAGGACGACGGCGACAACGACGACAACGACGAGGGAGGAGGGAGGACGGCGACGACGCGAACGACGAAGAAGGAGGAGGGACGGCGACGCCGACCACGACAACGACGAGGGAGGAGGGAAGACGACGACGACGACAACGACGACGACGACGACGACGGCGACGAAATAGGAGGGACGACGACGAGACGCCGACGACGGACGACGACGACGACGAGGGAGGAGGAGGAAGGACGACCACGGCGACAACGACGACGGAAACGACCACGACGCCAAAGAGAACGACGACGACGAACACGAAGAAAGACAGAGGACGACGTAGGCGACGACGACGACGACGACGACGCGGGAGGAGGGAGGACGGCGACGACGACGACGACGACGACGCAAGTGCGCGCGCGCACGCTTTTGTTGAAAATCCGTGTTGCGAAACCTTGTGTTTTTGTAGGTTTTTTGGGCACACGATTTAGAAATCCTTCCGAAACCTTTGGGTTTTGAAGGATTTCGGCATACACGCGCGACGACGCGCGCGTCTGCACTTCGTCCCATCTTTTGCAGAGGATTCTCGCGACGGCACACGCGCAAGGGCGTTCGACAGATTTCGACATGCGCGCGCGCGAAGCCCGTTTGGTAGCATTTTGTGAAAATATTGAAAAACCTATGGTTCTCTGAAGATTTCGCAAGAGCTCGCGCGTAAGCTTTTTTAGCAAACCAGTGTTGCGAAACCATGTTTTTTGTATGTTGTTTGGAAACTCGATTGCGAAATCCTTCCGATTGAAGGATTCCGGCACGCGCGCGCGACGACTCGCGCGCGTGCACTTCGTTGCAAGGGATTCGCGAAAAAGTTTTATGCTAGAACAAAAAATGTCCCCGCGTATTGTTTTTTTCACAAGGGAACCTCAGGGGGGCCGATCCCTGCCCCCCGGGGATAGTGTAAATTCACATGTAGGATGGACATGTGGTCAGAATCGTCTATGATTTACATACCCGAAAGGGGGGACCGCTAACGCCGGGGGTGGGGTAGAGTTTTTTTTTCAGAAAGGAGAATTAATTTCTGTTCGCAATGAGTTGTCCATTCCACTGCTCGCGCAAACATCCCACCCGCCCGCCCGCAACTGGGTTTGCAAACCTCATGCGGCGGCGATTGCGATGAGTGTTCGGCGCTGGCTGGTACATGTGCGCAGCCGCGCCAGCCCGCACATGCGCGCGCAGCGGCCAGGTACTTTGGCGCGACCGACGCGGCCGCGGCGGTGCTGACCGGTCGGCACATCCAGGCGGGCACTTGAGTGCGAGTCGGCGGCTTGGGCGGGCGCGGTATCATGGCAACGTCGACCCTTGTAGACACGATGATGCTGATTGTAGCCATGTTGGTGACGATGCTGACAGCGACGACGGCACGGCCAGTGACGGCGCCGATGCCGATCACGCCGACGACGATGACGGCGTCTTCGCGTCGGTGATGAATGTTTTGGAAGGAATTCGACATGCGCGCGCGGTAGACGCGCGAGAGTGGTTCGCATGGTATTATTTGACACGGATCGTGCTCCCCAGCACGCGCGCAAGGGCATTCGAGCGATTTCGACATGCGCGCGCGCGAAGCCCGTTTGGTCGCATTTTATGAACATGTTGAAACACTGGTGGTTTGCTTAAGAATTCGCCAGAGCGCGCGCGCACGCTTTTGTTGAAAACCCGCGTTGCGAAACCTTGTGCTTTTGTGTGTTCTTTGGACACTGGATTTGAAATCCTTCCGACACCGAAGGTTTTGAAAGATTTCGGCCGCGACGACGCGCGCGCGCGTGCACTTCGTCCCGTTTTTTGCAGGGGATCCTCGAAACGACACCCGCGCAAGTGCGTTCGAACGATTTCGACATGCGCGCGCCAAGCTCGGTTAGTAGTATCTTTTGAAAAATACCAGGGGGATATAGCTAATTCGCAAGAGCACGCGCGTATGGTTTTTTTGAAAGTCCGTGTTGCGAAACCATGTGTTTTGTATGTTTGGGGGGAACTCGATTTTGACACCCTTCCGAAACCGAGGGTTGTTGAAGGATTTCAGCATGCGCGCGCGACGACACGCGCGTGCGCACTTCGTCCCATGCTTGTGCCAGGAATTCTTGACAACTTATGATTTGTGATAAACGAGTGTGCGCGCATAGTCCATTTTGCAGATGATGGCGGGGGGGGGCGGGGGCGATACCGGGTTGGCTGGGATAATTTGAGTTCGCAGCCAGGATGGACGATGGGGCAAAATCATATGTAAATTGCAATACGAAAAGGGGGGTCTTCAACCCCGGGGGGAGGTGGTAGAACTTATCTCTATTTTAGACACGGGAACCCATTTGGTGCATTACATGCGGTGGAAGCTATGTGGTGCACTCTACATGGTGCAATATATTCCCTGCAATCTTGATGGTGCAGTCTACGCAGTGCAACCAATCACTTGCTCAACTTGAAGCTGTCCTCTCCACTGCTCGTACAAACATCCCACCCTCCCACCCGCAACTTGGTGGCAAGACCTCTTAAGACTGCGACGGTGGGTACCACATGGCACTTGGCACCGACACCGACGCCGACGACGACAGCGATAACGACGACGACGACGACGACGACGCCGACGACGACTATGACTACGACGACACCGACGACGCCAACGACTTCGACAATGACAAAGACGACGACGACGACGACGACGACGACGACGACGACGACGACGACGACGACGACGACGACGACGACGACGACGACGACTACGACGACGACGACGACGACGACGACGACGCCGACGCGGACGACGACGACGACGACGATGACAACGCCGACGACGACGATGACGACGACGCCGACGACGACGACGACGACGACGAACACGACGACGACGCCGACGACGAACACGACGACGACGACGACGCCGACGACGACGACGACGACGACGAAGACGACGACGACGACGACGACGAGGGAGGAGGGAGACAGCGACGACAACGACGAGGGAGGAGGGAGGACGGCGACGACGCGAACGACGACGAAGGAGGGAGGACGGCGACGCCGACGACGACAACGACGAGGGAGGAGGGAAGACGACGACGACGACGACGACGACGACGACGACGACGGCGACGAAATAGGAGGGACAACGACGAAACGCCGCCGAAGACGACAAGGGAGGAAGGACGACGACGGCGACAATGACGACGGAAACGACGACGACGCCAAGACGACGACGACGACAACGAGGAAAGACAGAGGACGACGACGGCGACGACGACGACGACCAGGGAGGAGGGAGGACGCGACGACGACGACAACGACGACGACGCAAGAGCGCGCGCGCACGCTTTTGTTGAAAATCCGTGTTGCGAAACCCTGCGTTTTTGTATGTGTTTTGGAAACTGGATTCTGATATCCTTCCGAAACCGAAGGTTTTTGAAGGATTTCGGCATGCGCGCGAGCGACGACGCGCGCGTGTGCATTTCGTCTCGTTTTTTGCAGGGGATTCTCGCGACGGCACGCGCGCAAGGGCTTTCGAAAGATTTCGACATGCGCGCGCGGCAAGCCCGTTTGGTAGTATGTCTTGAAATTTGTGGAAAACCGATGATTGTTTTGGGATTTCGCAAGAGCGCGCGCGTAAGTTTTTGCAGAACATCACTGTTGCGAAATTTTGTGTTTCTGTATGTTTGCTGGAAACTCGATGTTGAAATCCTTCTGAAGGAGAAAAGATGTTAGAAAGATTTCGGCATGCGCGCGCGACGACGCGCGCGTGCGCTCTTCGTCCCATTTGTTGCAAGGGGTCATTGAAAACGAGTGTGCGCGCATCGTATTTGATGCATAGGATGGCGGGGGGGACCGACATCTGTTTGGCTGGGATAGTATGCATTCACAGGTGGGACGGACATTGGGTCAGAGTCCGATGTGCTTTACATCGGTTCCCGGGGGGTCTTTAAGTCCGGGGGGAGGGGGGGGAGAATCTAGTGTTTCAAGACCGGAGAATCGATGTTCTGCAATCCAGGGCGGCGACGGTGCGGCGACGGCGGCCACACAGCCGCCAGACCGAAGACACGGCCCAGGACGACGGGCGGCGACGAGGCGGCGACGGGGCGGCGACGGGGCGGCGACGGCGGACACGCAGCCGCCAGACCGAAGGCACGGCCCAGTTCCCCAGAACAGAAGCAACGACCCCTGAGTGCCAGCACTGTTTCGGGGGAAAGCAGAGAACAACAGCAAGAACTGGATGCGCCGAACCCTTCCGCTCCCTTGATCCCTTTCCTCCCCTCCCCTCCCCTCCCTCCCTGGACCTTTCTTTATCCCTTTCCCTTTATCCCTTCCCTCCCCTCCCTTTCCCTTCTCTCCCTCCTCCCTCCCCTCCCCTCCCTCCCTCCCTTTATCCCTTTCCTCCCCTCCCCTCCCCTCCCTGGACCCCCGCAAGAAGGCTGTGGCCGGGGGCGGCCGTCAGGGTGATCAGCCACTCCGGGGCCGAGAGGCAGTGCACCGTCATCGGGGCGGCTCCAGGGCCCAGCCTCGGCCCCGACGGGTGGCGGAGGTCCCGTCGCGGCGGGGGGGGACGCCTCCCCACCGCATCGAGGAGGGGGGATGGGGGGGTAGGGAGGGAGAGGAGGGAGGGAGAGGCAGAGGGGGAGGGGGGAGAGGGAGAGAGGGGGAGAGGGCAAGCCAGGCGCGCTCGCGTCATATCTGACGTCCTACCCCTCCCTCTCATCCCTTACCATGGCGTAGATCTCCTCCCTACTCGCACAGTCGGATGTCGAGCAGGGCAACGATCCCGAAAGGGTACGCGATGATGCATCGTAGAGCGCGGCATGGCATGGCGTAGAAGAGCACCACAAAGCGTAGTATCAACCTAGCATTGCATTGCATGCCGTGGCATGGCACGGGAAATGACGCCAGCGCTGCAGCGGGAGCACGAATCGAAACGAGCTGAAGCGCGGAAATGAGGCCAGCGCTGCAGCGGGAGCACGATTCGGAACGAGCGGAAGCACGGAAATGAGGCCAGCGCTGCAGCGGGAGCACGATTCGGAACGAGCGGGGCCCGAAAATGAGGCCGGCGCCTCAGCGAGAGCAGCATTTTGGAAACAAATGCATGCGAAAACCAACTCCGGGGAAACATGTGTGTAAAAACACAGTACGCGGGGGGGGGGTCCGCCACTTTCAAACCGTCATCAGGGGAAGAGGGAGAGTAGTATCCATATTCAGCAATTGTGGTGGAGGCAAGCTAGGTGCGCTCGCGTCATATCTGACGTCCTACCCCTCCCTCTCATCCCTGACCATGGCGTAGATCTCCTCTTTACTCGCACAGTCGGATGTCGAGCAGGGCGACGATCCCGAGAGGGTGCGCGATGCATCGTAGAGCACGGCATAGCAGGGCGTAGAAGAGCACGGCAGCGCGTAGTATGTCATAGCATTGCGTGGCGTTGCGTAGTGAAGAGTTGCATCACAAAGCATTGCAACGCGGGAGGGGGGGGAGAGGAGGGAGAGGGGGAGGTGGGGAGAGGGGGACGGGGAGAGGGAGAGGGGAGGGGGGGGAGAGGAGAGGGGGAGGGGGGGGGAGGGAGAAGAGGAGGGGGGGGAGGAGGGGCAGGGGGCAAGCTAGGTGCGCTCGCGTCATATCTGACGTCCTACCCCTCCCTCCCATCCCTTACCATGGCGCTGATTTTCTCTATCCGCGGACGCGTGTCGTAGCGGACCTGTGGCTCCGCGCGCGCGTGCGTAGTGGGTGGTGGTGCACGTGCGTGCGTGCGTGCGTGCGTGTGTGCGTGGTTGTGGTGGTGGTGCTGGTGCTGGTGCTGGTGCTGTGCTGGTGCTGGTGCTGGTGTGGTGCTGGTGCTGGTGGTGGTGTGGTGGTGGTGGTGGTGGTGGTGGTGGTGGTGGTGGTGGTGGTGGTGGTGGTGGTGGTGCGGCGCGGTGGTGGCGGGCGGATGGGCGCGCGAGAAAGAGGCCCGCGCTGGGGCGAGAACGCCATCCTGAACGACGGAGGCCAAACACCGATCCGAAAATGAGGCCCACGCTGCAGCGGGAGCACGATTCGGAACGATTCGGGAGCAGAAATGAAACCGGCGCCTCAGCGAGAGCATCATTTTGAAAAAAACGCAGGCGAAAACCCGTTTCCCGGGAATCTTGTGTGTAAAAAAATAATGCGCGGGGGGCGTTCGGCCCGAAAATGTCGCCGGCGCCTCAGCGAGAGTCGTTTCCCGGGATTTCCCGCGCATCTTGTGTGTAAATAAACAGTACGCGGAGAATGCGCGGCCATCACCCGGACGCCATGAGGGGAAGAGGGAGAGTATTTTCATATTGAGTAATTGTAGAGGGCAAGCTAGGTGCGCTTGCGTCATATCTGACGTCCTACCCTCCCACCCCCATTTCTTACCATGGCGTAGATCTCCTCTCTATTCGCACAGTCGGATGTCGTAGCAGGGCATAGCATTACATGGCATAGCATGGTGTTGAAAATCAATGCGTAGCCTGACGCCCAAAGTGGGGGGGGCTTCTGCGGCCCAAAAATTCAACGAACCGGCACCGAATGTGTAATCACTTCCGATGGTTGCTTCGGGGGGCCATTTTCTAGATTTGGGGTCCTATTTGGAAGGGCCGAAAACCATGCCGTGGCATGGCGCTGGAAATGATGACGCCAGCGCTGCAGCAGGAGCACGATTCGGAACGAGCGGAAGCGCGGAAATACGGCCACACACACACACACACAAACAAACAAACAAACAAACAAACAAACAAACGAAAACCCAACTCGCCGACATCTTGTGTGGAGGCCGAACACTCCGAGACAGATTCCATTGAGTACTTGTAAAGGGGAGGGGGAGAGGAGGAGGGGAGGATGGATAAGGAAACGGGGAGGAGAGGAAGCGGCTCGGGTGGCTTGGTGCTTCTGCTCGGCTTTCCCGGAGGCCTGTCGCTGCCATGGCGGGGCCCGCCTCGAAACCCTCGTCGGAGCGCGCTCCGGGAGAGGCCCAGGGCTCGATGCTGGGGGAAGGGCGAGCAGGACGAGGAGGAGCGAGCAGGGAGGGGAGGAGGAGGAGGAGGGGGGTGGAGGTGGAGGAGGAGGAGGAGGAGGAGGAGGAGGAGAGGAGGAGGAGGGAGGAGGAGGAGGAGGAGGAATGAGCAGGGAGGAGAGGAGGGGTGAGGTTTTGGGAAGGTGTCGGAGGCTTTCGGGCGGCCTCGGACGACGGTTCCCGGAGTAGTATGGAGGTTTCTGGAGGAGGGGGATGCGTGTTGACGCATGAGGACAGGAGGGGGGAGAGGAACGAGAAGCGGCGGCGGCGGACGGAGAGGGAGGAGAGGGAAGAGGAGGAGGAGGAGGAGGAGGAGGAGAAGGAGGAGGGCGAGGAGGAGGCGGACGAACGCTACGATCCCATCTGATCTAAGTTTGCCGAACGTCAGAAGGAGGAGGCGGAAAAAGATGAGTAGGGAGGAGGAGGAGGAGAAAGAGGAGGAGGAGGAGGCGGAGGATGAAGAGGAGGATGAGGCAGAGGGCGAGGACGAGAAGGAGGAGAAGGAGGATGGGGATGGTTTTTGAGGCATGAAGGGGTCCTAGGGCTCCAGGGGGACTGCCCCTACCCCTTCATCGATTTCCATCCATCTCCTCCCTCCCCCCCTATGATCCTGCCTCATGATTTCCTCATCCGTCCCATCCCCCTTCTCCCCTGACCTCGCATCTTGAAAAAACACTGGAGATCATTTCTGGGCCCTGTGCCCGTCAAAAAACAAGTCCAGATGAAAAATAATCCCTGGGGAGGGGGCAAGAAGGCCTCTGGCTGGGGAGCCGTGATGCGAAAAAGCACGAAGTCGGATGTCTGGGTCCTGCCTGCATCCTGTCTCATTACCCCTTGTCCTCGGTCTTTCCACGTCCTCCCCACGACACAGCCACAGCCAGCCTAGATGTTACCCTCCAGCTGCAACAGTAACTCCAGCCAGTACTTTGCCGTGAGCCTGCCATGAGCTCGTCGGGGACGCGACACACAGCCAACGCCACGAGCATGACCCCTCAGACGCGGACGGGAGCGGGGCGATGGATCCAGGCCCCGCAGCTCCCCAACAAGGCAGAAGCCCGTCGCCGGCGCAGCCTTTTCTCGCCTAATGGGCGCAGCGAGCTGCCCGTGTCTGCCCAGACGCGGCACCGCCTTCGAGTCCCAGACGGGGCACCCAGACTCTGGCGGCGCGCTTTTTGGCACGGCGAGCGCTCTCCGCCTCCACCGCGAGCACCGCCGCGTCGCCGCGCGCGTGGCCGCGACGCCAAAACAAAAATCTGCCCAGGCACGACGTCACCCCTGCGCCCCAGGCGGGGCACCCAGCCCTTGGCCCCCGCCGCCCCCCAAAACCCCCCTAGCCGCAACTACGCCGCGGGCGCCACCCGGCCTGGCCAAGCCTGAGGGGAGCTTCAAAAAAGAGGCAGGAGGGAGGCAGGAGGAGGAGGACGACGAGGAGGAGGAGGAACGGGGGGAGGGGAGGAGGAGGAGGAGGAGGAGGAGGAGGAGGACGAGGAGGACGAGGAGGACGAGGAGGAGGAGGAGGAGGAGGAGGAGGAGGAGGAGGAGGAGGAGGAGAGGAGGAGGAGGAGGAGGAGGAGGAGGGAGGAGGGAGGAGGAGGGAGGAGGATGGAGGGAGGAGGAGGGAGGAGGGAGGAGGAGGAGGACCAATGTAAACCCAAGAGTCATCAACGATGTTGGAGTAAACCCTCACTCCAAGCTCCCTCTTCATAGACCCCTACAACGGTTCATGTCCATTGATGGAACCTCCTCGTTGGAAGACACCCGTTTGAAGACACCCGTTTGAAGACCCTGAAGCATGCCCAAAAATTGTTCTCAGGATTCCAACGCCACGGATCAACCTGACTGTTCGGTCTTGACGATATTGAATCGTGCCAGAACGCCGTTCCTAGGACGTCAACGCAGAGAATATATGTAATTGGTGCAGTCGCGTAATCCTGAATCCTTCCGAAACACCATTTCTGGTTCGCTGATGAGGGGAATCCGTGAAACGCTTGCAATGTTTAAAACGAATGTGCGCCGCGCTAAGGCGATAGCCACATTTTGAAAAGGAACCGCCCTCAATCCGTGAAGCTTTTGTAAATGTTTAAAACGAATGTGCGCCGCGCTAAGGCGAGAGCCACAGTTTGAAAACCACCCGCCATCAATCCGTGAAACGTTTGCAATTTGGTGTAACGAATGTGCGCCGCGCCAAGGCGAGAACCATATTTTAAACACGACCCGCATTCAATCCATGAAACTTCTGCAGATGTTTAAAACAAATGTGCGTCGCGCTAAGGCGAGAACCATTTTTTGAAAACGGCCCGCCCTCAATCCGTGCAACTATTGCAAGTGTTTAAAACGAATGTGCGCCGCGCTAAGGCGAGAGCCACATTTTGAAAACCACCCGCCTTCAATCCGTGAAACGATTAGAAATTGTTAAAACGAATGCGCGCCGCGCTGAGGCGAGAGCCACATTTTGAAACCCACCCGCCCTCCATCTGTGAAACTGCTGCCAACGTTTAAGCTTCAGAGTCATAAATGGTAAGGAACTCTCAGGCGAAACGCCCGGCCCGCCCTAAAAA